GTGTCGTTGGATTTGGCATTTTGGTAGTTCCCCCCAGCTCGCCAGGGATGCCCGGTTCGAAAGTGTTGCCGCTAGTATCAGCTTAGATAGTGCACTAACGAAAGGTGACCAAGAATTAGCAGCAGCGCTGTTATCAACTTCTCCATCGACATGCTTGCACGTTACCCCGCCGTGGCCCACTTTCAACTCTACCCCGCTGTTAACCTCGCTTCATGAATGTGCCACCGTCTATACCTGGGGGTGCGGCGAAGACGTGGGTTAACAACGCCATCAAGACCTCAACGCGCATACTGACTTCGCAGGAAGATTTGAAGGTTAGAGGAAGCCAAATGCAAGCCCAAAAGAATGGATTAGAGTCTGCTCCACAGCTCAGACGCAAAGGCACAATGATAGAAGCGGTTACATCCCTTCGAATCCTCTTATATACGCGACCATCAAATCCCCTATTCCCCTTTTCCTACACTCTCCATCACCTTCTCTGTGGCCCCTTGCTCTCCCCTACTTGTTTTCTTCCTTCTTGTTGTTTTCCTCCTTGTTCATGTGCTCCCTCTTCTTCCCCTTCTTCCTCCTGCGGCGCTTCTTCCTGCCTGGCCAATTGATCTCCTTAAAGATACTTTGGTCCCCCTCTCCCTGCCCTCCAACCGTACCTCTTGGTTGTCTTTGAGGTGGATCCGGCGCCATTCCATTCGGCACCGTCTTGCTAGTTTGTCGGCTTGCACATTCCGTTTTAGTTGTTTGGTATGCCCAGGCACCCAAATTAGTTTGATGTCGACAACGTAGTTCTTTACACCCTTAAACTTGGCTTGGAATTCTTTCGCCTTCTCGTCAATGGCGTTACCAATCAGCTGTAGCGAATTTGACCAGGTCGATCTTTCGGCCTTTTTGATTAGACCCTGACAATCTGAGAGGATTTTAACCGATATTTTGGGGAGGGGGTGGGTAGTTGAGAGAGGGGGGAGGGACTCGACAAGTTGAGCTACTTCGTTCGTAGCTAGCATAATGCTTTGGCCAAGTGCTATCCCCTCAACAATCATACTTGAGTCCGCAAGTACAGACCATCCTTTGGCGATCTGTGTCGATTTATACGAGTCGGATGGGTCTATACGGTTATAATTAACCGCATAACCTCCCTTCCCACTCTCCCGGCAGTAAGATCCATCGCACCATGGTGCGATTTGCATAGCGTCAGGGCTTGAGGTAAACCTTATTATCTCCTTGCCTATCTTGATCGCTTCATCCCTCTCAACGACAATGACTTTACTCGCAAAAGGAGGCAAAGTATCTGCTATAGTACCACGTACGTTAGTTACGGTCTATAATAGCAGCGCTGGAGATAACTCAACTCGCCAAGCCAACTTTGGCAACTAACTCAACTCAACTCAACTAACTCGAACCCCCGAGTTGAGTTGGCCAACTAACTCAAGGGTCCCGAGTTGAGTTGGCGAGTTGGCCGCCTTCTTGGCACACCGGCAGAAAAGAATTTAGTGGTAAAAAGTGCACTGGTGACCGAATTGTGGAAGGAGTATCCGAGTAGGGTTAGGGTTATAGGTGGCCCTAATGTCTTGGCAACTTTGGCAACTAACTCAACTCAATTCAACTCAACTCAACTCGAGATTTTGAGTTGACCCACTCAACTAACTCGAACCCCCGAGTTGAGTTGAGTTGAGTTATCTCCAGCGCTGTATAATAGAGATTCGTTTTGTTATGAGGAAGAAGTAGAAGCATATATCTTACTTGAGATTTTGGGCCGCTTCTTATTGTTCCTTTCATCCTGGTAACCTAGTCTTCATCGTCGGCTTTTCTCTTTGTCCCTCTATTTTCATTCCCATTCCCATGCGCATTCTATGCCGTCCCAACCGGTGCCGAAGGAATTCGGAATAAATAAAAGGCTTTTATAAGGGCCGGGGCAGAAGGAATTTTGAACGGGCGGAAGAAGCGAGGTTCCAATTCCTCAATAGCGTCAGCGGCGGTGGTTCGGTAAGTGGGTGTTGGTGACATATGGAATGTAATAAGGCTATTCGGTTGGTAAGAAAGCAGACTTACAACGGCCATCTCCAAGGGTTCTCACACACACAAGCCCAGTTGATGGCGAACACCGTCCCCTACCAAACACATACGCCAAGCTTCTGCAGGAGCACCGTAACAAACGGCCAGCTACACGATCGACAGCGTAGTTGTCACGGATGCGGACGGTATAGTAAGGAGTAACTATAGTAACAAGCGATAGAATAACGATCGGATGGCAAACAATGGTTGGAATAACGATCGGACGAAAATGGGTTCCCAAAACGATAGTAACAGCAAACTACATATATATTGGAATGATGATGAGGAGGAGAAAGAAATCCGGACGAAAGGTAGAAAGGGAGAGGGATCTTATAAGTTTTCTGGGTGCCCCAAGGTTATTTTGGCAGATATTGTTGTTCGTAGATAGATATAAGAGGTTGGACATCGACGCATGTCCAACTCTAGGATAAGCCAGGTACAACGTAATTGTAGGAAGTCAGATATGGCAATATATCTAATCCATTGCGGCAGCGGCGAATGGTTTGCTGTGGGTGGAGCCGTGAGCGGAAGCGGAGGGCGTCCGGCGGCTCAGGGACTGATGGCCTTCCGAGGACGCGTTGTGGCCCATAGGAGCGGGTCCCCAAAAGGCCCGGTATCTGTCTAGCACCACCATACACGTCAGCTACGGTCCATGATGGAGACGCGTACTGTTATGAGGATATAAGCATGAACGTAGATCTTACCTAACGTTTTTACTCGCTTAGGAGCTGTCTGCGTCTCGGCGACTGTATCGTCACGGTCATCGTCGACGGCCGTTCTCTTCCTTGGCGCTTCCGTTGCGGGGAGGTTTTCGCGGGTATTGGGAGGCAAGGTGGTAATGTTGGAGACGCGAAGAACGAAAAAAGGGAAAAGGAGAAAGGAGAAAGGAGAAAGGAGAAAGGAGAAGAGAGAAAGGAGAAAGGAGAAAAAGCACAGAGTTGTTTCTTCGGCAACGTCGGACCGATGTCGTTGCTAGCTGAAGACCACACGCAAGGCGAAAAGACAGAGAGAACACGAAGGGCGAACCAAATAGTACGGAGAATAAAAGACAGAGTAGAAAGAAACGTCTTAGACGGTCAAATCATAGCGGGGTTCGTCTTTAACAAGGCTGGATAGCCGATGGAGGTGGTTTAGATGGGCAGGTTACTAACTTAGTAGGAGCTAATGAGAATGAAGAGAAAAGACAGAGAGTAAACAAAAGATCAAAGACGGTCGGGGGCAGGGGTTTTATGGTCCTCGAGGTCGCTGCTCAGGATACACCTGCCAGGGCAGACTGCAGCACGGAAACAGAGAACAAAAGAGGCCGCATGACCCTCACCTACCTACCTACGCAAAATGCATTCAACCATCAGGTGCGCTCGCCATTCACCCAAGGCGCACCTTCTCATGTTATGAACCAGAGCAGCATTTGGATGAGGACAACCCCCACATCAGGGATCACACATGGAAAAGGGAGGTGTACGACGGGATGGCCCCGCACCACAGCCCATGAAATGAGAAAGAGAGATGTGCTGCACAGCTGAGTTGTAGATGGTGGGAGTTTCGTTTCTTTCTTCACCCGGGAGTAGCTATCGATCTTCTTTTGCATTGTTTCCGCCACTGTTCCCTGCAGGTGTTCTCGCCCGCTCGTCTCCCAGTGCCATGTAGTCTTGGGTCCAAAATGCGCCGAGATGATGACAACATCTTGTTCAACTGTAACACACGCAGTAAGGACACCATCAAAGTCCAGATGTCGAGGCAGCCCATCAACTTCTGGTTGTCATCGCCGGTCCGAAGAGGCAAGCCCTTTCCTTCTTCTTGAGAACACGGTACCTCTTGCTGGACAGCTCGAAGATGGGAGGGAAGAGGTTATGAAGAGCTCCATTTGCGGGAGTGCCCGCTGCAGATCATGTGGGACTGTCGGACAATGGGACATGGATCGCAATGCCCGTCTCTTCCTCTTTGGCCTTCCACATGTGCGCAAATGAGTGCATTTGCTTACAGGGGGTCGAAGCAGCCGGTGCACTGTTAGTGCATTGGGCCTGTAGTGGGCCTGTATCGCGCTGTACGGGTGCTGCTGCTTATCACAACTCGGAGCTAGTTCAAGTAGCCTATCGGTACCTAAGGTCCCGGTTCGCATCCGGGCTCGGTCAGTTCCTTCTCCTTTTTTGCCTGAGGGGGCCCGCTTTCTCCGTACACGACAGCTTTTTTTGTTCCAAACATCATAATTGCGTTCGTGTCTCACCTCCTTCCTCCCTGATTTCTCACTCCGCTATCCCGATCTCCGATTCACTCTTCTTCATTGCACTTCCCCGATGCCGTCCTGTTCATCATCGGATTGCCTGTCATCCGGGAGGGCAGTGTGTCAGGTACTTCCTCAAGCCAAAAGCTACGCTTCGTCTCCAACACCCCGTCAGTCATACCCACGCCTCGTTGCAGTTGCAATCGTTCCAGCGCTCCCAAATTTCCTCCCAGGTCACCTGACCCCACGCGGAAGACCTTCGTTCGAGAACGCCCAACTGCAACATTATCAAGCCGTGGCAATCATTGAAACACAAGTGATCCGGATTCACAGTAGTCAATCTGAACTTTGGATGGAATCAAAGCCGAGCCAATAAAAAGATTGAATTAAAGCCATCCTCACGGCTCAAGGATATTATGCGTCTTGTTCCCGACATATCCCCCACTAGACGTGCCATTACCCATCCCATATCATCTTCGCGGGCCCCTTTCACCTTTCATCCCGTGATCTCCCAAGCCGTAAAGGTTGGCCTGATAGAAAAATGCTGACCAGCGCATAGCGATAGGGGCCCCCTCAACTACCGACCTAGTTCTCTCCTCAGTCCGCGCCCCCCCAGAATTTACATCCATCCTGGTGCCGACCAGGAGTGGTTGTTGGGCCAAGCCCACCCATTTCGATAGTGCCAATAGTGCCATTGAGGATTGAAGTGTACCCCTTGGTCCCATTCCCAAATTTACTGGTAAGACGCGGGCTCCCAGCGCCAACGCCCCGTGAAATGGTGGCCCAAACCGCGTTGCCGATCCCAAAAGAAGGGGTCGGGGTTTTGCTGGACTTGGTCCAGCCATTGATGGTGGTACGGCTCTTGTCTGAGACGCCTTGGGTCCGGAAAATAGGCATCCCTATCGCTTGGTTCTTGTTCATATTGTCTCCATGCTTCCTCTCTCAAGGTTTGGGAATGAAATGAGGGGATCGGCCAAGTGAGTTGCTCTCCGTTGCTCTTCTCATCCTCGTCGACACGGGTTTCGACCTGCTGCTCTTCCTCCTTCTCCTTCTCGTTCTCGTGCTCCGCCTCTTTATCCTCCTTCTCCTCCTTCTCCTGCTCATTCTCCTGCTCCTCGTTCTGCTCGTAGTTCTGCTCCTCTTTTTCCTCGACCTTCTCGTCCACATTCTCGTCCACCTTCTCGTCCACATTCTCCTCCTCCTTCTCATCATTGTTCTCGTCATTCTTCTCCTTCTCTCTCTCCCTATTCTCTCTCTTTTCCTTCTCCTCCTCCTTCTCGTTCTCCTTCTCCTTCCGGGCCTTCTCCTCCTTCTTCTTAGCCTCTTCTTTCTTCTTCTTCTTCTCCTCCTTTTTTTTCTTCTCTCTCTCCTGTCTTTCTTTCTCCCTCTTCTCTTTCTCCTTCTTCTCCTTTTCCTCCTTCTCTTTCTTCTTCTTCTCCTTCTTACCACTCTTCTTGCTCCCACTTTTCTTCTTGTTACTCTTCTTTCCTTTCTTTTTCCCCTTCTTCTTTCCCTTCTTCTTCGCCCTTCTGTGACTAGTGTCCTCCTCCCTTGCTTCTTCTTCTGGCTCAACTGTCTCCTGCCCCCTCGCCTCTTCTTCTGGTTCAAGCTCCGCAAAAATGCTCGCGGCTCCATCCTATGAACGCCCTTGACCATTGATTTGAAGCACTGCCTTGCCCACCTCTCGGGCTTCCCCCGCAAGCTTATCAGCTTGCACGTGTAACTTGAGGCTCTTATCATGCCCCAGCACCCAATGCACCGCCAAGTCCACGATAACATCCGGCCGGCCGAAGAGATTCCGAAAGTTTTGTCGGAATTCTTCCGACTTCTCCACAATTGCTTTTCCTGCGGATTGATAGCTCGCCGCAAACTTTGACGTCCTGACGCTGCTCAGGAGGCCCCTGCAATCGGAGAAAATTCTGACGCAAATCTTGGCGCCACGGTTGGGGGGGCTCGGGAGGTTCTCCTCCAGCTTCTTCAGCTCATCCATTGCCTGAACAATGCCTTGGGCGAGGGCGAGGGCTTCGGTGAATGTGCTCGAGGGTGTGGGAGTTGCCGGCCATCCCCTCCCCACATGTCCTTGCTCTTTGGGCGATCCCTTTTTGAGGCGATTATGGACGACAGCAAAGCCGCCACCATTGTCTCGTGTCTCGTGGGAGCCGTCACACCACAACGCCAATTGCATGTTTTGACTTGTCCACACAAATTTCATTGACTGTAGGGCGAACTCGCGCGCTGCCTGGATCGACGGAGCGATAAAAATATGGCCGCAAAAGGGAGCCAAGTCTGTTTATTACCATAGAAATTAGAAGTCAGTTGCGATTCACCGACAACAGAATCTCATGTTGTGCCAATGTGGATGGCAATATACGGCTTACCTCCTGTTCTCACTCGCTTGGGCACTTGTGTCCTGTCATCGCCAAGTTCGTCGCTCGTGTCCTCGTCTCTGGCCTTTCTCTTTCTCCGCTTTTCCGCACCAGCGAGGCCGAGCTTGGGGTTCTGGGTTGCCATGGTAAGGAAGCAGAAACCGAACAACAAAACGCAAAAAAAGGCAACGCTTAACTTAGCAGCGAGGAGAAATCGCGAAGGAGACAGGACTGCACGCACAGGAAGCAACCGGCGAAACAAGGAAGAGCGGAAGCATGAACACAAAGACAGATGGACGAAGAAAAAGATCAGGAGGCCCGCGCTAGTTGCTGGATACTTCTCCGGCTGAAGAACCAGGCAGGCTAGAACACAAAACAATGCGGGGTACACGAGAGGTTCGTTAACACCTTCCTTTTGCACATGCCTTGAGTCAGGTTGAGGGCAAGTGCATACTTCAACCTGTAATTACTTCAACCTGTAATCGCCTATGAAATGGAGAATCACGCCACGGAGATGTCGGTCGATATATCCCGGAAGTTGACCGTCGGCACATGAAAAGGCAGCAGCAAGACAAGCGTGATCACGATTGGACAAGTATGTTACCACGGAAGGATGGAAGGAGAGATTATTTGAGTAGCCTTGAGGGGTCGAACATGGATGATGGCATGGACAATGGGGAGGGCGTGTCTTCTTGTGCAGCGGCACCTTCTAGAATACCGGCCCAGCGCTGGCAACAAATTAAATACACTTGGCAAATACAAATAAATACAAATAAATATACAAATAAATATAGATTCATATTTGAGTAGGTCAAATCAAATACGACCTCATATTTATTTGCGTATTTGGCCGCCTTTCTTAGCACCCAGCAGAATCCTTAAATTAGGGTTTAAAGTGCAGAAATACATAATTTTTACTCCTAAAAAATCGACCCACCTCTACCCTCAAGCGTACTAATTAACTATCTATCAAGTTATACCCGCCTAAATAGCCAATATAGCCGTCCAAACTACCTAAATTAGTGAAATCTTTAGCGTTTTTGGATTACATACCAAATCGAACAAATTTAGCATTTTTAAATTATATCACTAACCTTCTCCCCTAATTAATTATATACTACCAAAGTACTTTCGAACCTTAATATACTCTCGATATTTGTTAATCTCTCTCTCCGTTATTGCCGATTAGTATTAACCTCCATTTAACGCTATTAATACTATTATTACAATACCCGTCGTCTAAGAGCTCGATACTTCGTCTACTATAGGCAATACGCCGACTATCTCCCTTGGGGACGCGCCTACGTACGTCGCCGCTATCGAAGTATTAAAGAGTAAGTACCGCCTTCTTCTATTTCAATAATTTAAATTCATAGAGGACGTTTACGTCGATAATTTGCCCGCAAATATCCTCGCTTAACCGAAAGCTACAATTAAATAAGAATAATATATATTAAACAGTGTTAAGATTATATAGGAACGTAGGTTAAGGTATTTACGGATAGCGTAAGTACGTAGGGGACGTTAAAGTAGGAGGAGGATTAAAGATATATTAATAATTAACTCTGATAATTCTAGAAGCGAATTCGACCAGTTATTTATATCGTTGTAAATTCTATCCTATAGTAGCTAAATCTACGACGGCTTCGAACTGTTCTAATACTATACTATAACGTTATACTATACGGATATTAACGCTCTTCGGTATTAGTACGCGTTTAATGCCTAATAGGTCCCTAACGACCTAATATAACCCTCCCTCTCCTAAATTTCTATCCTAAAAATTTATAAATACCTTACGTTAGTAATTTCCCTACCAGCGCTCTTTTATTATTATTCTTCTATAATTTATTTCTATAACCGAATATACTATTGCCGAAACGCTACCCTTTCCAGTTCTCTTTACTTCTATACTAGTATTAACCCGTTACCTAATACCTATATTACAAGGCTAGCCTGTAATGTGGTTGCACTATACTAACTACATATATATTATGCCAGAGCTAGTGCTATAGCCCAGAGCCATATACTCACGTACTGGTCACATATCCCAATTACGTATAGCTTTACGTACGCGCGTATAGACTAGCCTACTAAGCTCTCGCCTATATAGCTAGTCCTCTACGTATATTTTTCTTTCTTTCCATCGTATAATAATATATATCTGACCCTACCTCTAATAATACCCTTTCGCCCTATAAAAATTTATTATACTTTACTATTATACTATACGCGCTTACTTAAAGGAAGAACGATTATAATTAATTTTAATCGTCATAATATTACTAATTTAATATTATCGACCCGTAATTAAAATTTACTCCTATATAATTAAGACTCCGCCTTACAATCCTAACTTCGAATTAAATAAATTACCAAACCGAATATCGTTATGAAACAATTTATATTCTCTTTTTCCCTTTTATTTACCTAGCGTATTAATTTAATAATTAATAATTAATAATATTATTTTATACGCTCCTTTAATAATTAATAACTTTTTTACTATTATTACAATTAGCGCCCTCGCTACTCTAAACCCGGCTAACCAAAAATATTATTCTAACGTTATTTAAACCTTCGAATCCTTTAATAATTAAGTAGTTGAAATTAGTATTGCTACCGAATATATATTTAATTTTATTTAATTCCCCGTTTTTTAAGCAGTTTTCTAGGCCTTTAACCGCCTTTTCTATAATAATATTATTACCGCCCGTATTTAAGCCTAAAAAGTATGGGAAGAATTTAAAATTTATAAAGTTTAATTCGTTACTACTTAATATAATATTAAATGTTATAGTAGTAATATCGCTATAATTTAAACTTAAACCCTCTTCTACGCGTAGAAAATAATTGAAGATTATAATAAAATTATCTACGACCTTCATAATAATTACGCCGACAAATTTATTACTATCCGTATTATTTATTCTAATGTTATTAATACCCTTAATAATAGTATTACTACCCTAAAATAAAAGTTCGCTGATTTCCGGGCAAATTTAATAAAAGTATATAAAAAATAACGTAATAATTATTTTAAATATGTTAATAACCTTTATTAACGTTTTATCGCCGCTTTTAAAATTGAGTCCGTCCTCGAACCCGAAATTATCCTGCTTACTAACGAAGATCTTAATAACGACGAAGACTTCGAAAACCACGAAATAATAATTTTTAAAAAAAGAAATAATTATAAATTAATATTGTATATTATTATATCTTTTACTTTTAATAATAAAGGTACTTCTATTAAATACGTTATTAAATACTGCACCTAATATCTCTATATTAAATTTAGGTTAACGAATTAAAGATTTTTATTACTAAACGTATTAAATTTTCGTTAATCGCCCGCTCTATCGAGGGCTTTCCCTTCGAAACTATTGAAACTGAATTTAATAAACCTTTTATTAGCGAACCCGCTAAATAAAATATGATCTTCAAATTATTCGACGAACGTAATAAGAAATATAATAATATTAATATTATTTATTATTTTGGCTACTAATTAAAAGGATTAAAAATAATTAAGGGAATAAAATAGTAAAGTTTTGAAGAAAAAATCACCCTCTTTATCGATTACTACAGTTTTAATAATATTATAAAGGCTTATTACCTTCGTTAAAAAATTAACGAACGTATTTATATTATTTTTATTTATTAAAATAATTAGTCCGCTAATAATACATACGAAGAATAATTTACTAAGGTTTACAATTTAATTAAGAATTTAAAGGATAAAAAGTAGTGTAAAAAGAATGTTAACCCCTTCTATAAAACTAGTATTATTACCGGTATTAATATTTCTACTTTTAAATTTAATATTAATTACAATAGTAATATTATACACTTTAATACTATATTTTTTTCTAATATCTAATTCTCTTATATAATTAATAACGAAATCTTTAAATTCCATATAAAGAATAAAATATATACCCGCTACGGTAAAAAGGGTTATTTTTCGGCTGAATACTATTCTTATATTAATTTTAAGAAGGAAGTTAAACCCTTTAACTATAATAAGAATAAGAATAAGAATAGAAATAACGGTAATAATAATAATATTGGTAATAGCGGTACCGGCGGCTAATAGCCCGCCTAGGGTTAATATAATTACGGTTAATAGCGCTCCTATAATAGTGGTGGCTATTACATTAATACTATAAATATTGCCCTAGTTATAGGTATTCTAGTTCCTAATACCTTCGGCTCCGGCGGTTACTATTACCCGGTCTTTATTTATTAGCCCGGCGTTATCGGTCCTATTATAAGCAATAAGAATAGTTCTATTTATAATTAAGGAAATATATAACCTCTTAACTAAATTGCGCTTCGAGGCCCCAATCTATAAAATAAGGAAGAGGAAAATAAGGGCCTATCTTTATATAGTTAAATATTATAAAGATAAATAAATCCCTAGTAAATAACCGTTATAAATACCCTAATTAATTAAAATTTTGTATTTACCTCTTCTATAGACTATATAAATGATATTACTTTATTCTTGTTAATAGCGGCTATACTACTCTTAAGTTTATTAACCGCTATTTTGTTTATTATTATTAATTACCTTATTTTAAATTAATAACCTCTAACTTTTTTTATTTTTTTAATAATTACGTTAAACGTAATATTACTTACTTCTCTTAATTAATAATATAAGTAGGCGTTTATTATAAAGTTATTGACCTATTTATTTACAATTTAATTAAAGATAACCCTATTATTTTAAATTATCCTTAACTAATTTACTATTTTCTCGGTATCGATTAATTTAACGATTCCCTTTATTTCGTTCCTGCTTATGAATAGCGCGGCTATTTTCCTTATAAATTTCCGGTTTACTTTTATTATACCCGATTAATTAAACGGTATGTATTTTTATTAAGGTAATTAGTATACGTCCTGCGTATAGGAAGGCCTTTTATAAAAAGGTCTCCGATAAGGGGGAACTGGAATTATTATTATAATAAGAATTTATATACTATTTATTTATTTTTGCAATTATAAAGAGAACCGTTTACTAACGGTTTAACGGCTTTAAAAGCCGGGTTACTAACCGCTTAGGAATTATATTTATCAATAAAACCCTTAGCGGCCCAAGTTAAGTACTTATACTTATTATTATACCGTCCTAAA